CTCATCAACGAGAAACATAGACAAAGAAATAATACGACTAACACAAAACTCACAAAAATCCGCGGACTCGATGACATCTACCAGGCATTTACCAAATCCACTGAATATGCACATCTGCTCATCGCTATACGGGACGCATTTCTAAGCATTGCCATCCATCAGGGACACAAATAAACTGAAGAAATTTTAAAATAACAAGTCATCATCATGTATCCCCTTCTCAACTCACGTCACAAACGAACACCCTCCCAGACGAACTCACATTTTACACAGACAAACGGTCGAAATTAAACAACTCCCGCTATAAATATCACTCATAAATCGAGAAACACGGATGAATAAAATCTATACGAAATAAAACTGGAAGAAATTATCAAATCCTCTGGACACAGCCTAAAGCAGTGTCTTGAGAGGCAAAGTTTACTCCATAAATTGCCTATAACCAAAACGAAAAGATCAAAAGCTAGAACAATCTAATGAAATGACTCCGAAAGCTGAAAGAAAACACCACCCAACACTCAGCAGAAGAAGTGAAATCAACAAGATCAAATCAGAACTAATGAAATTGAAAACAGGAAAGCTATTCAGGAGATTAAAGTTGGTTCTTTGAAAAAATAAACAAAATTGACACATCATTGGCTAAGCTAACGAAAAGCAGAAAAGAGAAATCTTTAATAAGCTCCATCAGGAACAAAAAAGGAGACATCACAACTGATCCCAAAGGGATACAAGATATAATTTATGAATACTACAAAAATCTTTATGCACACAAACTGCAAAATGTGGAGGAAACGGACAAATGTCTAGAAACACACAGCCTCCCTAAGCTCAACCAGGAAGAAATAGATTTCCTGAACAGACCAATCTCAAGAGCTGAAATAGAAACAGCAATTGAAAATCTCCCTAAAAAGAAAAGTCCTGGTCCAGATGGTTTCACACCCGAATTTTACCACACTTACAAAGAAGAACTAGTACCTTGCAGAAACTATTCCACAACATCAAGAAGAACGGAAACCTCCCCGACACCTTTTATAATGTGGCTTTTCAGCATGAGAGTTTCCCACCCCTGCTTTAATCTTTCTCTGTTGGTATCCAGAGACTCATACTTTATTGCTTATTTAAAAGAATCGAGGCAGCCCAGAGGCAGGAGCCCCACCTGATTTCGGACAGGGATTGAGTGTCAGTCATGTTTGTACTCAACAAGTTCAGGTGCTGCTAGCAGCTAGAACAGACACATTTAAAACGTGCCGTGGCTTAGCACAGTGAAATTTATTTCTCACTCGTGTAAAGTCCAGCTTTCTTGGAGGGAATCGGCTTCACATGTCACTGGGAGACTTAGGCTGACAGGCTCTGCCATCTTCAGCATGAATCTCCAAAGTTGCTCTGGGTGTTGGTGTCACATCCGGCCGGTAGGGGAAGGGAGGAGGTGGAGGATGGCATGGGAGGTTTTCATGGTCTGAGCCCAGGAGTGTGCACACATCTCTCTTACCCACACTCCGCTTGTCAGAACTTACTCACCTGGCCCCACGAGATGCAAGGGGCGCCAGGAATTAGAGTCCCTGGCTGGGCAGCCATTTCCCAGTACTAACTCTGCATGATGGGAGGGGAGCACAGGTTTGATGGACAGCTGGTCGCCTCTGCCACATGGCCTCAGCTCAGTGCCTGGCACACAGTTGGTGCTCAGCAAAGAGCAAAGTGTTTTAGGTACGTAGCATGTGGCAGGACCTTCCTAAGTGCTCTGTAGGTATCAACTCATTCTATTCTCATAGGAACTTATAAGAATGAGTATTTATTTTATTTATTTTTAATTTTTAATTTTTTTTGTACAGACAGGGGATCACTCTGTTGCCCAAACTAACGTGCAGTAATGTGATCATATATCACTGCAGCCTTGAACTCCTGGGCTCAAGGGATCCTCCCACCTCAGCCTCCCAAGTAGCTGGGACTACAGGCATGTACCACTATGCCCGGCTAATCTTAACATTTTTTGTAGAGACAGGGTCTCATTATGTTACCCAGGCTGGTCTTGAGCTCCTGGCTTCAAGTGATCCTCCTGTCTCAGCCTCTCAAATTGCTTGGATTATAGGCATGAGCCACCACACCTGACCAAGAATGGGTCTTGTATTTTTATTTTTTTAAATTAAAAAATATTTTAATTATTATGGATACATAATTTAAGAGCTTCATTTTACAGATGAGGAGATTAAGGCACAGGGAGATCCAGTGACTTGTCTAGGGTCACACAGCAATAAGTGAAGAAGCCTGGATTTAAGCCCTGTAGCCATCTAACCACCACTTGATATTGTATTTTTCTGCAAAACCATGTTGAATTGAGCTGATCTATGGAAAAGAGATAATGGATAGGAATGCATTTTGTACACATGTGACGTGAAACAAAGGCACAGGGGCTTTGACAAGGACCTGCCCTCTGCCAGTCGCCGGGCTCTCCCATCCAGGTTCCCACTGCACCTGGCACAGCTTGCGGCTTTCATCCTGTTGCCCCCAGGCCTGTCGCAGTGTCTGGCACACAGGAGGTGCTCGGTATGCATTTATCGATGAGTTTTTTAAAAGCACATGCTGGGTGCTAGAGAGAAGAATGAACCAAACACAGCTGTGTTTTTAGGGAGCTCAGAACTGGAAAGGCAGTTAAGAAAGACAGTTCCTGTGATGGGTGAGAAACAAGGGTGATGGAGAGGTGGACAGGTCTACTGGGAAATATATGAATAGGCAGGGCGAAGAGAGCCTTCTCATTTTAGCCATCCATTCATCACTCATCCGACATGTATTTACTTAGCACCTACTATGTGCTGGCTACCACTGTTCTCTATGCTGGAGATACAGCCATAGACAAGCTGGACAAAGTCCTTTTCATAGAACTTTTGTTACAGTGGGAGAGACGGGCCCACAGACGTTGGCACACTGCAGCTGAGGTGGGCTGAGGAAGAAAGCCGAGCAAGGTAAGGGAGGGAGTGCAGCAGGAAGCTGTGGCACCGAGTCAGTCCTCACCCTCCTCTGATGAAGAGACACTGGCCGCTCTTGCCCCGCGGGGCACCCAGCCCGAGTGGCATACATTACTTTATCCGCTTCCCTACTGAGCATACACTCTGGCTTGGCTCTGGGCATGCTCAGTGGGGGACGTGTGCCCTGATTACAACCCACCTTGTAATCTTGTGCATTTCTTTGCACAGGCTGGATCCTCCCTCTGGACTGCCCTGCCCCGCCCTGCCCTGTCCCACCTGACCAGCTGCTCCTGGGTAGAAAGACTGGGGCCTTTCCCCTCCCAGAACCTCTCAGTCTTCCTGCAGACCGGGGCTCCTCCCAGCCTGGCTCCCCGCAGCCCTGCTGGGGGAGGGGCTGCTCACTCTGTCCACCGCCCCCCCCAGCTCTGAGATGGGGAGGACTAAGTCTGAGCACTCACTGCACACGTGCCCCCTGAGCCTTTCTCTGCCTGAAGTCAACTCGTCAGAGCAGAATCTTCCACAGCTGAATCCCAAGAGCCTAGAACAGAGCCTGGCAAACGGTCCAGTGTAAGATAAATATATGTTGATCAAACGAACGAATGAATGAATCGATAGCACGAATGAAGGCAAGGCAAGTTCCCCAGGTTGATGCGTTCCCGGCCTGCGGCTTCCCCGTACCCCTTCACCAGCCAGGATGGGCTACTGCAGTTTGCTGGCCGAGTGCAAAACGAAAGCGTGGGGCCCCTTGTTCACAAATTAAGAATTTCAAAACGGCAACAGCAGAACATTAAAGCAAGAGGAAGCGTCTGCCGGGTGCCCAGCCCTGTGCAAGCGCAGGGGCCCGCGCAGGAGGCGCTCAGGAGGCCCCGACGTCCCAAGGCTCGCTCCCAGCTCCCTTCTGCGACCTGCCCTGGGGTCCTGCCCCTCCTCTCGGTGCGCCAGCCTTGGACGCTCATTCGCCGCGCTTCCAGTCTCCTCCTCGCCCCGCGGGGCGCAGTGAGCTCCTGGGAGGGGCGGGCGCCCGGCGGGCACCCAGGGCTTCAGAAGGCAAGCCGGGCGGCCTGAAGGCTAGGGAGGCGCCCGGCCACCCAGGGCTCCAGGGCCGACCCCTGGGCAACCCCCCTCAACCCTGCTGGGTCCAGGAGTAGCGCCCCACTCCCCTGCAGGAGGGTGAGGGATGGTGTTTTTCCTTGGAAAGAGAGTCAGGTCTTCTGCCTCTGGGAATCTCGCAGCCCACACACAGGCACACCAGACAGACAGACAAACAGAGAAACCACAGAGAGATGGCCCCTCCCCCTATTCATAGATCTGGGGGCCCGCGTCCCCCACCACTAACCAGACACACCCGAAGACAGACGCAGAGCGTGACCTGAACAGAGAAGACACATCACAGAAAGAAGCAGGGACAGACAGACTCAGGCGCGCACACCGACTGGGGCAGGCTCACCCGGACCTCCGGTCCGGCGCAGAGCCCGGAGCAGCCCCGAGCAGTCCCCTACGCGGGCTCGGCCTCAGCCACGCCCCCGCGCCCATCCGCTCCGCTGGCTTCGGGAGACCCCCCCTCACTTCCATCCCCCAATCCCTGGGAGGCACCTCTTGCCATCCAGCGTTTCGGGTCGCCGGGGCAGGGGCTGGGTCTGCGCGGGTCCAGCAGGGGTGAGGGCTGTGGGCGGGCGGGGGCCGGCGTGTTGGCGGCAGTGCGGGAGGACACGCGGGCGGCCGAGGGATCGGGATCCGGGAGCCGTCCCGCGTGGGTCCTGTAGTGGGCAGGGGCTGCCCCTGGCGTCGTCAAGTGAGGGGAAGTGGGCAGGGGGCGGCGAGGGGCGCGTAGAAACCCGGGGCCTCGGGGTTGGGGGCGGGAAGTGGGCCGGGTGGCCCCTTGACTGAGGGCAGAGGGGCACGCGGCGAGGGCAGGCGTCGGGAGGTGGGGTGCGTAGGGGTGGGGGCCTGTTGGCAGAGGGCGTCGGGGCAAGGACAGGAGGCAGGGGGGACAAGCAGGGCCGGCGGCAGCCACCCCGAACAAGAGTTGGTGTCGGCAAGATGCCCGAGGGCTTGGGGGCGCCCGCCTTGCCCAGGGCAGCTGCGAGCGCCTCGGACGCGGGCTCGTCGGGGCCTGTGGCCTGCCCGCGGCCCCAGCTCGCGGCTCCAGGGTCCCTGCAATCCGCGGAGGCCCCGCGGCCCCCAGGGTCTCGGGCTCCTCGCCCGGGCGCCGTCCGAGCCCCCTTCCCGCAGAAGCTGGCCGAGGCGCTCAGCAGCCAGTACGGGCTGAACGTGTTCGTGGCGGGGCTGCTGCTGCTGCTGGCCTGGGCCGTGCACGCGTCGGGCGTGGGCAAGAGCGACCTGCTGAGCCTCCTGAGCGCGCTCATGCTGCTGCAGCTGGTCTGGATGCTGTGGTACGTGCGCCGCAGCCGCGCGCACCGCCGCCTCATCCGCCTCCAGGACACGCACGCCGGCGCGAGCTGGCTGCGCGGTGAGTCCTCAGCCGCCACGGCGCCCTGTCTGCCTTTCCTCTTTGTCTTTCTTCTCTCGTCCTTCTCAAGCCTGGGCCTCACCGCTGCCCCTCTCTGCCTCCAGGCTCTTGCTCATGTCGCATCAGCAGAGCGACAGCGACACGGATTCTTCAGTCTGTCCCTGGCTTAAAGCCATGCAGCGCTTCTACTGACCCCACGATGGGGCCACGCTCCCTTGCCTTGGCACCCAAGGCAATCTAAGATTTGGCCCCAGATGCATTCTTTCGTTTTATCACTTCCGTGCTCTTAGCCTGTGCCCCAGTCCTTCTCAAAGACCTTCAGTTTGCGCCTCAGTATTTCATGCTTCCTTGCTTTTGCATATTCTGTTTCCTTCTCCCGGAATGTCTTTTCCACCCTCCCACCTACCCTCCTGCTTTCCAGAACGGGGTCAGGCCTCACCCCAGCCTTCCTTTCCCGACTCCCTACCCTTTCCCCACGCTTCGCGGCTCTGACCACACCGCTCGGCCCTCACTCTGCCCTGTCTCGTTGGCACATCTGTTCCCACGCCTCACCGGGGAGCTCTGGGATGCTGGTCTCTTAGTCCTGAAGCCACCTCAGGGCCGGGCATGGAGTAAGTGCTTGGGCAAGGCACTGGATCACCTCTCCCACCCTGAACCCTAGTTTCCTCACCTGTAGGATGGGATCACACACTGGATGGGTCCAGTGACTGCCCCTAGTTCTCCTTCAGTCCATGTGCCTGGCAGGAAATGCTCCTCACTCCGGTGGGCCACCCCTGCTCTCTCTGTGAAGCTCTTTTGGTCCTTGTCAATTTCTGCCTTGTGTTCTGGCTATTTGGATATGAGCCTTCTCCTCCAGATGAGATTTTAGGTTTCTTGGATAGGGATTGTGTCTAGTTCGTCTTGGCTTTGGGAAAATTTGAGACTGTCCCAGGGCAGCCCAAATTCCTGTTCTGGAAATGGTTGTTTTAGAGAGGTTCATGGTTTTGTGACTCTCCATAAAGGCAGTTAATACAGTGTTATTTAAAAGAAACAAGGCACAATATGTTATTTTACAATATTGACTTGCACAGGCTAAAATCTGTGACACACACAGGCAGTGGACCTATGCTGTCCTCTAGTGGAAGCATCCTTTCTTTGTTTCCCTTCCTTTCTTCTCCATTGTTCCTTTCTTCCTTCCCTCCTTCCCCTCCTCCTCCCTCCTTACCCGTCTCTTCATTTCCTTGCCTCCCTCCCTGATTTCTCCTCCCTCTCTCCCTTTCTTTTTTCCTTCCTCTCTCTTCTTTCCTGTCTCCCTCCTTTGCTCCTTTTCTTCCTCTCACCTCCCCTCATCCTTCCTTCCTCTCTCCTTTCTTACTTCCTTCTTCTAGTCCTCTCTCTCCCATTCCTCCTCCCTCCTTCACTTCTCTCTCTTTCTTTTCTTTTTAGGCCACAGTTATAGTATCCTCTTTCTTTTTCTTCCATCCTCTGTCCCCTGTTCTTTGTTCTTCTCTCTCTCCCTCCTTCCAGGATGGGAGCCTGAGTCCATGGGTGAATGGTTATGGTTATGCCATTTCCCAAGATTGGGGAGCCAGAGGGAGGAGCAGCATGGGGATGCAGAAGCAAGATTCTCTTGTGGACAAGTTACACTTGAGATGTTTTTTTGGACACCAAATAGAGAGGACATAATGAGGCAAGATGGAGAGAGCACGCCACGTAGTGGTAGACACTGGGTGAGTTGTCTCATAATAATAGAACCATTTGAAAGAGGTGTGTGGACCACGGGAAGAGTATTGGCTCTGGAAGCCGTGGCTGGAGATCTCAGCTCTAGCACCTGCACCTTTCTGAGTCCCAGTTTCCTCGTCAGTAAGATGAGAATCCCAGCCACCTCTGCCTCTCAGGGAGGAGCTGGGAGATGCTGAGAGAAAGCAGTTTGCAAAGCCCTGGCCATTCCTGTGGAGGAGCTGTGGGTTCATCAAAGAAGCAAGAGTGTAATTAGGAATGTCAGGAGGTAAGGGTGCCAAGGGGAAGTGCCTTCAGCCTCAGCAGCATTGAGGTTTCCCCTGGACGCACAGCTGGAAAGACAGGTTTGATTGAGGAACTTTGCTCTGCCCTGGCACTGGTGACAGAGAGAAGTTAGATGATCTAAAGCCTTAGATCAACATGCAGAGGGCAGTTCCCTCAGGAGAGGGAGTGGCAATCTCCAAGACCCATCCTGGAACCACTAGGAGAGTCTTGCTTAACTGCATGACTTTTCTTACATGTTTTTTGGATGATATATCTGGTCTAATGGAAACATAAACATAGTGTCAGGATTTCAGCATCAAAAAAGAGAATGTGGCTGCCAAAAAAGCAGATGCAGGTTTGGGATTCATCGGAAGGAAGTCAGACTGCATGCGCAGTGCCTGGTCCTTCCTGAGCGTCTCATGGGTCCGTATGGGAGATTGGCCGCAGGAGGTCTCAAACTCCTGGCCTCAAGTCATATTCCCACCTCAGCCTCCCACAGTGCTAGGATGACAGGCGCGAGCCACCGCGCCTGGCCTTGTGGCCGCAGGAGGAGTGAAAAGCTGTTCCGTCCAGGAGAGGGGTGGACGCAGAGGTCACAGGGCAGAAAATGCCACTGCTGCCTTGCACCCGTCGGCTCCGGGTCATCCTTTGGTGTTCAGCAAGCAAGAGTCACTTCTGGGAAACGTTTCCTGATACTTTCAGACCAGGGGCAGCCTCCAGGGTGTATGTTCTGGTAGAACCCTGTTCATTTTCTTCCCAGGGCTAATCAAGCAGGAGATTGTATTATTCAGTTACTATTTATTGGGCTAATGAGCTCCAGTGTGAATGTGCTTACCATTGTATCCTGTGCCTAACAGGCAGTAAGTGCCAATCAGTTTCTGCTGAATAATTGAATGGATGGATGGATGGATGAATGAATGGATGGGTGGATGAATGAATGAGCGAATAAAGCTCCAGGGAAGAGGATGATGATTCTGGGAGGTCAGTTGCTGTTCAACGTAAGGAAGACTATTTGAGTGCAAGCATCAGCTGGTGATGGAAGGGCACACTTTGCGAGATGCTGAGCCTCCCAGCCCCAGGCATGTCCAGGTGGGGGCCAGATGGCCACCAGTCATGACACACTGGGAAGCATCTTTGCTTGGGATGGAGATGTAGACTTACTCTGTGAAAACTTTCACCTCTGAGAACCTATGGCTCAAGATTCTAGATTCCTAGGAGGGACCTGAGTGCCTAACATAGGGGAGAGGTCCCTCTGCTAACACTGGATGAGTACCCTAGGCAGTTTTTGGATTATTCTCGAGTAATGTGGCCAGTATACTTTCTAATTGGTTCTAATTCATTATGTTTTTCTTTGTGGTTGAGTGATAAGATGATGATGATAATCACATCTCACTTACAGAACTTTCTAGTTGTGGGATACTATTGTAGGTGATTTCTATGTAATAACTCATTTAATCTCCTGAACACCCAGATGAGATAGGCAGTGTTATTATCATCCACATTTTACAACAAAGAGACTGAAGCACAGGTCACTTAAGTTATTGCCCAAGGTCATCAACTAATAAATGGCAGAAGATAGTATTTGAAGCTAGGTAGCTGGCCTCCACTGGTATTCTATGTTCTACTGCTTTTAGAGCATGATTTTTGTCAATGTTCCATGGACATCCAAAATTGTATACTCTTTTTTTTGAGGCATGCAAAGTTTTATATACATGTAAAAGCAAATTGGTTGATTGTGTGATTCAGGTCTTCTATGTCTTTACTTACATTTTGTCTACTTGATCTGTCTAGTTCTGAAGCTTTGCATTCTATTTTTTAAAGAGTATCAGTTAAATACACAAAGAAAAAACTATTTTATTCTGGCACATGTGTGACTGTTATATCTTCCTCATATATTGTGTCTTTTATTATATGTAATGTTAAAGGTGGAATGTTAAGGTCATTACATTAACTTTAAATCCCATATGGTCTGATATTGCTATTTCTATTTTCTCCTTTTTTGTCCACCTCCTTTATTTTCAACCTTTATTACTTAGTTAAAAGTGTGATTTGTAAAAAAAAAAAAAAGTGTGATTTGTGTAAAGAGCATATAGGTAGGTTTTATTTTTAATTCAATCTTCCCATCCTTCTTACTAGTTAATAGGAGGATTCAGATCATCCTAATTTACTGTAATGATCCTAATTTACTGTAATGATTACTATACTTGATTTTGTTTCCATTTTTATAATAATTATAATTATGTACTTTAAATTACTACCTCTTCGTTTTCCTCTGATGCATATTTGGTTTTTTTTGAACATTTGGAAAATTTAGTGTCCTTTTCTATTTCATTAATGACCATCTTCCCTTCCCTCGCTCTCATAATCGGATGCATATTATTCCATTCTTATCTGAAACCAAAATACCAAATGTGTCCCACAGCAAGACACATGTGTCTCGCTCCAAGAAACTCTGTTGCTCCCATTTCCCCTCTACTAATGAGATGAGACCTCCAGGGTACATTTGCTTTCCTTTTGCCTCTCCTGTCTTCCCCCATCTCTTTTCCCATCTCTTTATCATGAGGACTTTGAAAGATTTTTCTTCTCTGCTCCCCACCCAGTCCTTCTCCAACTTATGGGTTTTGTAGAGATAGTTTCATATTTAGTAGAATTCCCCCTTAAAATGTTTATTCTGTATGACAAGTCTTTATAGAGCATGTAAATTATACATTCCTAGGCAGTTTATCTTCTTCCATTTCGATTTCATTTGTCATCTTTTTTTCTTTCCTATTAATCTAATTATCTATCTACTTGAGTGTCCACCCACCCATTCACCCATCCACCCATCCATCTATCTATCCACCTACCTATCTATCCATCCACCCACCCATCATACACTCATCCCCCATCCCCCATCTCCCCACCCATCTACCATCCCCCACCCACCCACGTGCCCATCCATCCCCCACCCATTTACCCACCCATCCACCAACCACACATCCATCCACCCATCCATCTGTCCATCCACCCATCTATCC